ACCTTGTGAGCAGAAAATATTTCTATTTACGAAGACACAGTGACAGAAATAGTGACACAGTATGATGACATACTGACACAGTGACTGAAAGCCAAACAGTAGTAGCGGTTATAGGACATAAATCACTTTTCATCTATACTCTCACAATACGGTGTCCACCCGTCCTACAGGTAAAGAGATACCTGACAAATATTTTTGCTTTAAAATGTACACAAAAGCTGAACTCACTGCATACTACCAAAGAACACCATCTCCTACATCCTGTGTTTCTCGCCCTGCTTTTAAACTAAGATGAGAGCAGCTTTGCTGATTTCTTTTCTTGGGCTTGTTTGTTCCTACTCATGGTAACATGCATAGTGTTGTGGCATTTGCATGCTGATGTAGTAGTGGAGCAACCGGGCAATTGTTTCTTCTTTGTGTTCAGCGCATGGAAATGTTATTGTGCATAAGTCAAGAACACTGTCGATTAATTGCGTCCCAGTAGACAGTCTGGTGGCTTTTATTTTAAAGAAGAACTGTTCCGGTCTCTTTAGTAGCTGGAAAAGGTTCTTGTTCGGGTGTATAAGGCCTCCTCTGTTCTTCACCTTTGTCAGGGCTGCTTTAGTAGAAGTGTTCTTTTCGATGCTGAAAGCTGATCGGCATACAGGGCAGCGTATATCTTTTTTCATTTTCCCTCTCAAAAACCCAGTTACATAATATAGTATGCAGTCTACAGCGTTGGTTCCTTTAGCCTTTTCTGCCCAGACATCTTCGGATTCCAGTCTTTGACAGAAATTAGACTGTCAAGTTTGGTGTTCACTTGGTCAACGAGATGAGGAGACAACGGGCTTTTATTGTACGTTCTGATCTGAACTCCGAGATGTGACACGTCAAGTAATGACCTCTCCCCTTCAGCTATACTCTACGGTTGCCGAACTTCGGAGGCTTCAGAATAGAGTAAATTTGCACAAGGTGGAAGAAATACCCCGAATCGCAGTAGGGAATGAAGCACGTCTTTCCCCTCCTTATAATATAACTTCTCCTTCGGGTTAAGGCTTACCTTCGTGCACGATGGTGGCCCCTGTGATCGACACAGCACCAAAGCAAAACACGAGGCCAGCCACTGGCCGCACACCACCACCACACCGCGAAAAAGGCGAGCACGCTACGCCCCCGACACAGTGGTCGCCGAGGAGAGACCAGTCATACCCACGGTGCTCACACCTCAGCGCCCTCTGCGGCGGCGCGAAATTAACTACTCCTGGTTCGAGGCTAGCTTTCAACACCATCTGGTCGCTCGCTTTCCGCGGGAAGAGCGGCCAGAGTCATCACCTAAATGTATATTTTCCACCCTGATCTAGAGCCACTAAACGAGCTATGCTTAGAGTATCGGCACTTCGTTCCCTGATCTGCTGGTGTATGCCACCATCTTGGTGCTAAGAGCAGAGCTGACACAACTGTTAATCGTTGCTATATAAAAATGCGACTTCCTCAGCTTTAGATACAGTGTTAGGAACGTCGGGTGGTATTGTTTTTCTCTGTCTCGATCTGTTTTATTATTTCTGAAGGACAGAAAAGTGTTTCCAGGGATTTCAGATAAAGCTTCAGATAGCTGGCAACCATGATATTAAGACACAATATGGCTGAAGTGTCGTTACTCTGAAGCCAGAGCCAGTATAAAGGGCTCTGTCTGAAGCGTAGCTCATTTATTGGCTCTAAGCTCATCTACTGGAGGCGGCCAAGCTGAGTAGTCTCTGATATGGGCTTCTGATTCGCGGTGCAGCAATTTTTACGTGCTTTTGTGCAGGACATTACGAAGTGACGGGAAAACCTTTGCAACTTGAATAGTTAATTTTTTTTTTTTAATTAAAGGGAAGATGGGGCACTTCTACATTTGAGAAAAAATGCTTGAATTGCGTTCATTTGGCCTTTAGGATAACAGATATCAAAATTATATTTCAATGCGACGCGCCGGAGAGCCAGAAGAGCAATTTCAAAATAGGGCTGAAGCCCCGCCTCCCTAGCCTTGGGCAGCCAAAAGAGCCGTCGATGACGTCACGGACAGCGACAGTCTTTCGCGTTTTTCTCGCGTTTAACAATACTTACGCAGCAAATGGTTTCGGTATTCGGGTTCATGGGGTAAAAATACACTAGAATTCACTTCTAACTCATTTTTTTTCAAGAAGCTCCGTAGCTTCCCTTTAAACAAATTTCGCGACATAAACATTCAGCAGGCCCTTTCTTTCAAGACCCAGGATGACGAGGACGTCTACTAGAAAGATAGCGGCGCTTAGCGATTGATTTGGCTGATCAATACGATAAAAACTGAGAACGACTGGATGTTACAGATTACTCTTTCAATGAGCAAAAGGTTAGGGGTGAAACTGGCTGGTGATGGTGTTCAACATATTTTAAGACAAAACCCCGAGACTGGAGAAAAAAACAAACAAATAACTTTGTTGTGTCGTCCTTCGTTTATTTTTATATCAGTTTCGAAGTTTTTTTAAAATACTGTTTTGCAGGAAGGCGCTGCTGTTAGTATGTTAAATTAAAGTGCCTACAGGGAACGGTATTTATTGAGATGCTGACTAAGTTAGGCTGAGTAAATCGTTCCGATAACTACACTCGATAGTTCTCTGTGCTATTGCGCATGATTACTGTAGGTGTGCAAAGCACCCACATATTTGTAAGGCCACAAAAATAAAGGAAACGGCACGAAGCATGGCACATGCCCCGAGAAGCACCCGCATAGCAACGTTCTGCTCGTGAGCAGAACGTTCCGAGCCGGTTGTCTCGGGCGTCCTCACTTTAATTACTGTGGAGCACTTTGTCCATCTTCCAGAATGCCATATTGCTATCAAAGCGTAGAAAGTATCTGTGTGTCTTCATCCCGATTCAGGCATGGTTTTTCTTGCAGTGAAAGAAGCGCGAGCTTGGCGGAAATTTTTTGTTTTCAAGTTATTTACCATTGAATCGGCCAAGGCCAGAACTGACGTTTCTCCCATCTGTCGGGGATCGCAAGATCGACCCCTCGCGATTTTGTCACTTCTCAAGCAATTGAACTAGGACTCTTCTCTGACACTTTAAAAATAGATTTTATTATGCTAAATGAAACAAAAAAGAAATCTTTTATTTTAAAATATGAAAACAAAATGTCTGACATTCTCCTATTTATAATTTCAAGAAAAGTTTGGAATTTCTTACATCAGGCCTATTTAAGATATTTTAATGACATTGATATCGCCAGAAAGCTCAAACGTAGCTATCATTATTTCATATAATTTCAATATTATATGTACAAATTAAAATCTGTTAAATTTCATTTCTTTATCAATACCAGGGTATAATTTGAATCTATCATGAAATAAAAATAAAATGCATATTTTGTGCATACAACCGGAAATAAAACTTTAATCTTGTTAAACGTGCGTTCAAAAAACGGCAAGCTTTGTTGCGTAGTAAAATCACTTTTAGTCCACATTGCGCACCATTTCGGGTAGTTTTAAGTTTATATATTACATATTCATTGTTTTTATACAATGTTATTATTGGACAAAATGATAATATTTCACTGATATTGTCTGTGAACTCTCCTATTTTGCCATTTTACCCGAACACCCCATTTCATGCTTCACCCATGTCTAGAATTCAGTATCTCTCTAATGTAATTTCTTACCCCGATATGTTTCTTGGGAAAAGTAAAACATCGGTAGCATTTGATGCTTTGTTTTGCTTCCTTCCGTGCTCTTCTTTTTTAGCATACAAGTGTATAATTTCCATAATAGTAGCACTTCAATGAATTTGTACCCTATAATCTTGTTTTTGATAGTAATGCTTATAGTAAATTGATGAATATGCACTGTATAGTCTTGTTTATGATAGTAAGGCCTATAGTGTCCGAGGGTGAAACTGTTCAGTGCCCTTATGTATTCAGGCGATGCTTTGGTTTCTATTTTTGTTTTCAGTGTTCCAATAAGAAAAGGCTTCTATGGCTGCTGTCGGACACTATTAGAAAGTAAAGTAATATTATTATTATTAATTTGAGGTAATTATTCATATTAATGCCACAATATTGTCCAGAATATCACCTATGTGAGGATGCTGCCACAACACACTAGTGATAACTTCTAAGTCTCAATCACAGTCATGCAAACAAAATACTATGGTATTTTCTGTTTATATTTTCTGACAGAACATAATCATGCATTGTTACTAGTAAAACACGAAGCAAGTAAAGAGATAGTTTATAAAAAAAATAAGTTTCAAGCTTATTTTTCAAAATATTTGTTAATTAAAAAAAAAAGTGTCCCCCCAAAATATTTAGTTATTTTCACAGCAAAACTAAACTATGCATCGCCAAACGTTTATTCTACACTCAAATGTAGTGCTAGCGGTTCTAACCAAATGCCAAAGTTTCAGTACTAAAAGTCATCTTATTCAAAAGTTAATGAAGTGATTTCTTTTTAAAAAATTTAAACGAGAAAATGGAATTTGTTTTCGCCTTTTTTTGGAAACTGGTGCCATAAAGCTCCATGTATTCGAGAGCTCTGTCGACCGGCATTTTCCTGTTAAAAATTTCAGAAAATCTTGTATAACTGCTAATTAAAGTTACGGTGCGTGCTGATTCGGTTCGAACCTTGGCATCAGGTTCGAATCGAATCGCAAGGTTCGCACCAAAGCGGTTCGAACCTTGGCATCAGGTTCGAACCGCTTTAAATCAAATTTTTTTTAAATCAAAGAAATTTGATCTAAAATAGAGTGAGTCGAGAGGCAAGCTGGTTTATGTTACACATTTTTAAAAACCAGATACGATGGATGTTCGTACATTTGTTGTCTCCATTTTTTTTTTTAAATGTGTAAAATAATTTTTTTTTTTCCCATTTTGACTAAAAGACGCCAGAATTTTAATTTTTTATTTGTTTTGCGGTAAGTTCTGCGTGGGGGGCAGAGATAAAGGCTTGGTGCCTGACAAGGCCCCTGCCCCCCCGTACAGTTCAGTAAAGCAGCTACACACACACACAAGCAGCTTCTCGTAAAAACATTATAATTGAGAACTTAAACCCACAAATATTTATTTACAGCCAAGGCACAGGGCATTAAAAAAATCCACTATGCTAAAAACAAGCTGGCATTACAGTTGTTGCCAACTTGGCTGGGCTTGTCGACGCACTGAAAGAGAAATGGCGAAATGAACAGGTCAATCTGCTCAGAGTCAAAGCAAGAACACAGCACTCCTTTACGGTACGACCAAGCAGCAAATCAAGATAACAATCACGAGTCATTACCACAAAGCTTCAAGACTGACACGCAATGTCTAGCCGTTTGGAACAACTTCTGCCTTGTTTTGAGTTACCTGGCACTGGGGGTTGTTACAGCCACACTGGCATGAGTCCGACGTAGTCTTGTTGGTTCAGTTGAGGAAAGTTCTGCGGGTCAAAAGGAAGAGAAAAAAGTCTGCACTCTTGCTTGCTACGTCAGATATCGATAGCTTCAGCACAAAATAAAGTAGAACTTCTCCACAGTAAAGACGGTCATTGTCTTTAGTAAGAACATAGTGAATCAATATTGAAGCATGCCTGTATTACTGGTATACCTTGCCACACTGTTATATCAATTTTTTCTTTAAGAAAAGGTTTAGCTTAAAGAGCCCCTCCCCTCCCCTTCTCCGCTCTTCCTCCTAAATCTGCCCCCGATCCTATGTACGTATATACTGTGTTGCTCCTTTTTAAGCCACTTAACAGTTGTCTTTTGTCCCCTTCCATTATTTCATGGACTCGAGAATTTGCAGATTTCTTCGATAAATTGCAGAAGGATAGTGGTTCCGACATGGCAACGTCCGGCCTCCCCAAAGGGACCGCGAAAAAGAAGCTGGCAGTGGGGAATGATTCTCTACTTCATGTGACTACCTCGCTAGAATGTCGTCCGGATCTTCGGACGATGTAACCGGCGTCCACCGGCCTACTGGTAGCAGCAGTTTCTTTTTTTCTTTTTTTCCCCCCACTTTTCTGGTTCTATTATTTTTTTAGGTTTGTGGTTCTGTCGTGTTCCCCCTTCGGCAAGACTAAGTGGATTAGCCATTGCCAAGAAATACCCAATTGTTTTTCTTTTAAGTTTCGAGAAAAGCATGACTATCCGTCTGGCAAGAAAAATGGGCAGTTGCCATAAAATACCGGGGATGTGCCCACCCCACTTTCACTGAAAACTCGACTAATCTAGACATGGGCGCTTGTTTGGTAAAATCGGGCGCTTAACATAGAATTTGTAGGATTCCCAAGTTTAGAACGCGTTAAAAGTGGGCGCTTGAACAAAGGGGGAACTTCCGCGGTATTTTACAGTAAACGAGAAAAGAAATCTGAGCCTCAAAATGCTCTTTCTGCGAAACTCGGCCCGTTCAAACGAAAACTGGTATCTGTTGCATGCTTTATGAATGTGACATGTTTGTCCAGAACATTACAGCCAGGTTCCAAAATTTACTCCATCTCACTCTAGGCTAGATATAGTAAGTTTCAGCTCAAGAAGGTAGGGCGAGGGAAAGGAAGGTTGGGGAGGAGGAAGCAAACGGAACGCTGGAGAGGAGAGGGGGAAATCTCCTCTCTCGAGTGTACTGTCTGCTTCTTCCTCTCTGGCCTTCCTTGAGTTTCTTTCTTGAGTTGCAACATACTATAGAGCGTTTGCACCTTGGCACTCAGCAACCTATACTTGCATCCAGCGTCGCTCTGTCTGTGTTATTGCGCGGTATGACCCAATGGGAATACAGTGATGGAAGTGCCATTTGACCTTTTGGAGCAGGCCTTGTAGCAGGCAAAATGTTGTTTTGGAGCAGGTAGTGGCCCTTTTGGAGCAGGGTCCGGCATATGTTGGCATATTACTTGAAAATGAAATAATGCTGCATTGCTATATAGAGCCCATCTCTATTATTGGAACACAGCACCTGTCGTTTTTTTTTTTTAAGACAGGATATATCAAATTCAACAAAGTAAACACAAAAAAACATTTTTTAAAAATAAAGTTTATCTGCTCGTCAGATAAAAAAATACAATTAAATATGTCACTGAGTTCTGATGGTACAGGATATTTAGTTTTATCAGCCTGCACTTCTTTTAAGGTATCTGCAGCAGCATCTAACGACCCTCACTGTTGTGGAATGTTTTAGTCCAGATTAGAGTTGTCTTTCGGGCAGCAGCTTCATATATTGCAGTATCTGATATTCGCTTCAAAAATTCCGATTAATTTTCGATGTGCTGGCGAAGTCACGATCGGATCATGGCGAGCTAACCCGTTGAGTGCGCTCCTTGGCATGCACCGACGCGCTCCAGAGAAGCGACACCCGCGGAGCAGACACCGCAGTCGCGCGAGTCGCGCAGTGCTTTGTGCTCCGAAAAGGACGGTAAGGCTTTACCAGCACTACATCCAGAGTTTGGTGCAACTCAACTATACTTCATTTCAGCTTCGGTGCGAGCGCAGCCGAAGCTGCAAGTGCGCGCATGAAGCCCGCAACGGTGCCCACACTGCACGAGCCCACGCGCGAGTCAGGAATGCACAGAGCATTGCGCTCGCGCTAGCTTTGAATTCGCTGGTAGCAAGCGCACGGGAACAGGGCGGGCCAACATTGAAAACATCCACAAGCTCGGCCTTTTTTTTAAATTTTAAATAGGCTGCTCAGTGGGATGGTTCTTCGCTTAGCCTCTGCGGCTTTGGTCTCAGATGTTGCTGACGTTGTTCCTTTCAATGATGATGATGATAATGCGCCCTCGCCGTTTCGGTTTGCGTAACAGTTGCGGCGCGGAAAATACCGCGGTACCGGCACGCGCTCTGATAAGATTTCAATTTTTATTTTTTTATTGCTACATCTCATCTCGGCGCAGGCATGGCGCAATTCTTCGGTAAAATGACAATTTGGCGCTACATGTAGCAGGATTGCGTCCTTGGCACAATTTGGCGCAGCACTTCCATCACTGGGAATAACTTCCCGAGCAAGTTTTGGAACGCAGCCTACTCATTAGTCGAGCTAAGAAAATATGTGGCTGCGAGGACGAGGTTCCTAACTAAACAAGGCCGACTGTGCTCTTACGAGACGCCCGAGAGCATGACGCTACTGCGTGCTCCAGGCAGTGAAGCAACGGCCACTCTGGGGTCGGAGGTCACTCACGTGTCCTCGAGGGCAGCGAAAGAGGCAGCCACGGCCGAATCCTGCAGTCGCCCTGGCCGGGGTCCGCAGGTCACGGCCACCACCGCCTGGGAAGTGGTCTTCAGCAGCGCCTCGGGCAGGGCACCCGCAGGGATGCAGATGCCGTCTGCTCCCCATTGGAGAAGAAGAACTCGAGAGATTTGCAAGATGCGTTCGGGTCTTTATCTTAATAAAAAGTAATCGAAATTTCGTTTGACATAAAAATGCACATCGAAATGGGCTGGTCCATGAAATCAAAAATTCTTCTATATGAAACCAGGAAGCCAACAAAACACTGTACATCACTACAGTGGCGTACACAAGGGGGGGCCGAAGGCGCCGCGGCCCCCCCCCGAAACTTTCGAGCGGGGGTGGGGAGTGGGCAAGGTCACTGACTCTCGGTTCATCAACATCAATGCGGTGTTCTCTTTTTTTTTTTTTTAACAGCGGAGCAAAGATTGTGGAGAAGTAAAAATAAGAAATAAGAAAGGAAGGGAATGTAATATGTCATTTATGACATAGTACAAATAATAAAAAAATGTGGTTTTAACGTCTTTCGTGTAATCTGAGTGAGGAATAATTAATTAACGAATTTATTCCCATCTCCAATCAAGATTCAACGCTTTATGAAAGTCATGGATTGTGTGATATAACAAAAATATGTAGGACCAAAGGTTCTACAAACCACAGCACTACGATTATGGACTTAATATTTAACGCTTTGCTGAATTTTCACGCCTGTGAAACGATACAACACAACCTTTAGTAAGAAGAAAAAACGACAAAAACATCAAACATTTATTAAGAACGGTCCTGCTTGTGGGGACCCCACAGATCGCGACAAACGTAACCAAGGGCTGCGGGTTGCGCGATTGGGCGTGTAAGTCGCGGCCTCCGCAATTTGCTTTTTGTGTATGTGTGTTGCTTTTCCGTTTTCTTCTGTTCCAATATAGTTTTATATAACGGTCGTCGCGAAGTAGCCGGCACTGCGGGATTCACGCACGCACGCACACACACACATTGTATATATATATATATGTACATATATATATATATATATATATGTATATATATATATATATACATATACATGTATGTACTATAATCGGCCGCATATCTCATTTGTTAAATATATTGTGAGGTAGGCTGCACTGCTAGCGTTACTCAGGAAAGAAAATATATTCGTTTACTTCTACTTTTACTGCTTCGCGAGTGCCACAATTGCGCGGAGTCGCCGGGGCTGGTTTGTCGTCGCCACGGAGCGGCCCCCTTGTTCCCCTTCCTAATTGTTCCTCGAGAACCCCCGCTCTGGGTGCGTACCATGCGCTGTGCCCCGCTCGAGCGCAGCGGGGCCCCTCGATATTTTGTAACCTTTTTTTTTATTTTGAGAAGAAGCGTCGGTACTGCTGTTGCACCCCGACGAGGTTTTTTTCCTGGAAGCGGTGTCCGGCTGACGGTCGACAGTTAGGGCGAAGGTTTTTGGGAGTTTTCGGGGGTATGTGTACATGTACTTTCTTAATTGGATTTTGTATTATATATGTTTGTTTTGAACCACGGTGGCTCCCATTGGTCTAAAAAGAGAGATATCTGATTGGCTCCTTGGGTGGCGGGAAAACTCTTAACAAAGTGAATATAGGCGCCTAGAGGCGCGGGATTTGCGGTTCAAGGTTCGAGTACGGAAGTTGTCATCGGCAGTTTGAGAACCGCGCGAGATAGGGGCGCGAGTGGTTGACCTGCTGCCTCAGGACGGGAGCCAAGTGCAATATGTGAGTGTACAAACCATTTTTCAACGTTCCTTTGTTGCGTCGTGTGACTCCGTTGACTTTCTTTTGTGAACGGACTTCGAAAACCTTAAAAATCGACCCCAACGAACAAATCACGTGAGATTTTTGTTGGTTCGATCAGGATAAGATGGGAAGTAATTTATGGTGGAGCAGTTTTCCAGTGTTTATCGTCAATCCATCAAAGTGTTCCGCGTTCCTACTCATGCATCATTGCTTTATCAGCCCCGATGACTGGCGGCTTCGTGCATTGGAGTCGTGCTTTATATAATATTTGTTTTTATGATTCTTTTTTTCTGCTAACTCTGGTGCCTTCTGTTGACGTGACTTGTAAATCAAAAAAGTAAAGTGCAAATGCCTCCCTGGTGAGGAAATTCCGGGGCACCATTTTTATGTATCATAATCATCCCAAAACCAATATGACAACTTTAATTTAATTATTTAATTGAACAATGCATAGTTCTTAAAAAAATCAAGATGCTTTTATTTCCTCTTGGACTTTCTCTTTTTATCTTATCCCTCTTTACCCATTTACCCCCTTTACTCCATTTACCCCCTTATCTCGTCCCCCGTTGGTCCGGCCCCCTCCGAAATGAAATCCTGCGTACGCCACTGCATCACTATACAGTACTGTAAGTACATTCTTTTTGACAACTCGAATGGACGATAAATTAAACAGACTCTGCCACTCTGGTAAAGCTTTAAAAAACAAGGAAAAGTATAATGCCGTCTCTTCTTTTTTTTTTTACCGTAATTAGTTCATATTTTAGGAATTGTGAATCTTTCTGTATGCCACAGGTCTCTTTTTCTTACTTCAAATTTAAAACTGTAGGATTCCGAGTTCTTCCATAAGCATATTTAAACAAGTGGAGGTCCAAGCCATGCCACCTGGGACAAAGCTAAAACAACCGCACCACCTCGATGCACTCTTTGTCCGTGCACGAATACTGAAAAAGCCGACAAAGCGGAACGACATGCTGCCCAATACCGCACACTGCTCCGCCCCAAATTCACACCTTCCGGCGCAAGAGAGGAGCCCGCTTGTGAGGTGTGGGATCTTTTCGAACTGGCCCACGAATACAATTTTCTTTTTTGGCATACAGTTGTGCAAGCATCGTACAGACAAAACAGTGCTTTAAAGGTTACCTATCATCGCCCTACGAGGAGGAAAGCAACCTCCCGAAAGCAGTGTTCCAAAATTAATTGCAAAGCAGGTCTCGCAGCTACTTCAGTAAACTAGAATCTCTTTAAATGGAACTGGAAGTGTCGGCAGGTGCTGGTGCTTTTGCTTGTTTCGTTACAATGTTGAAAAGCTGGTTCTGCAAGAAAAAATGACATACATTTGATTGTAAACAAATTAAAGGGCCGTTGAACCCAGACCGGTTACGGAGCAAAGGTTTCCCGTCTGTCTCGTGCAGGCATCGAGACAAAGTGAACTGTTGCTCTCAGCTGCCAGCTAGATCATAGTTCAATCACGCAGGAATCGATAGAAAAACCTTGTCGCACGGTTTCTGAATTGACTACTCCGCCGATCGAGCACTGGTCGATTTGAGTCGCGCTCACTCTCTTCTCCGTGGTCATGTGCTGTTCTGTTGTTTAGACACACACACACACCAAATATAACCAAAGTCGTGGGTCATCGAAGGTACGCACTTAATATTAAAAAAAAAAAAAAAATATATATTATATCCATTTTTTGTGACTTTTAGGAAACTGCGAATAAATTGATTGAAGAAAAAAAGTATCACAGAGAACCGGAAGCACTCTGGACATTCTCTGCATAATTCTCAACGTGGCGTTGTATCGCGGGAGTCGCGGGCTGGATGGCTGAACAAAGCAGACTGAGCAATGGCAGCAGATGATGGGCGTGGGACCTCAAGTTTAGAATTGTCAATCGCGGTACTGGCGAATCTGTCTAGCTTCGAAGCTTTTACCCATCCAAACAATTAGGGTCCGACGCGACTGACCAACAAGCTGATTTGCACGAAGACGTCGCCGAGTCGTTGGCCTTCCTGGCCGAAGACATTGCTTGCCTTACGAACACAAATTAATAAGAACCTGAAAAACGCACAAACGTTAAGCACAAAATGCTTGACTTTTGCGTTTTTCGTGCAATGGTGCGCATTTTTTGTCTGCATTGCACAACCGAAAGAAAAAACCATGTGTATTTTGGCAATTTTTTCCTCCTCTACATTTCTTCTTCCTCTCCAGTTTCGGTTTTGAGCAGTTGTATTTTTTTTTTACTTTATTATAAATATATGCGATGCTCTAACAAAATACTGATCGTCTTCTGACACCATAGTGAATTGCCTGGTGAAAAATAAAAATATTGCCACGCGTGCAGCTGGCCGAGTAGGCAGCGTGCGCGTGGCCTGACGCTTTTATCGTGCCTGCCTCCCACGCGAAAAGTCAGGGTTCGATTCCTGGAAGCGACGCATCTTTTGGTAAATTCTAGAATCGTGTTGCTTGTTCGAGGTCCAAATGTTCTACGTGTCGAACATTCTACGCCGATTATTCAAGAAGCTCACGCATGTACATAAGGGGCTCTGTGTGGCGAGCCGCAGTCAGTTTCGCCCCAGCGTTCGACTCTGCTGTTACGCTGACTTCGACGCCCGCGACGCTCTGTTATTATCTTTTGTACCCTTTTATTTTTGGCAGAAGTTCGCCACATTAAACGTTTATTTCTTTCTGTTTATTTATTGTTCTTTTGATCACCACCCGGGACATTTTGGTGGAGGTGCGGGGTACGCATGTCCGTTCAGCGCACCCCTACGAGGGCCCCCAGTGCAAGTCCGATCCCGAGCCCCTGAGGACCCAACGAAGAAAGGACCGAGACCCGATCAAGTCACCGCAACCTTGGCCTATCCCCAGAACTTAGACCACTGCCGGACAGGACAAAGAAGCTACCGAAGCCGACGATGAACACCACGTCGCAGCCAGACGGAACGCCACCGATGTCCATTGTCTACGTGCAGGCCCCAACAAGGACGCCGCCGAATTTCAGTTGCAATTTTCTTGAAGATGTGGACGTCTGGTTGGGCCAGTCTGAACGCGTTGCACGGTTCAACGGATGAGGTCCTGAACAGAGCCTGCAAAATGTCTACTTTGCTCTGGAAGGCACTGCACGCACCTGGCTCGAGAACCACGAAGCGTCGATTTCGTCGTGGCAAGACTTCCAGGCGGAGCTTCGACATACTTTTGTCAGCCAGCAGCGACGTCAGAGGGCCGAAGAACTTCTTCAAGCAAGAAGCCAAGGGCCAAACGAGAGCGTCACAAGTTTCGTCGAGAATGTTTTCCGCCTCATGAACTGCGCCGACCCAAACGCTCCTGACGAGAAGAAGCTGCG